CTATTACTATTTTTTCGCTATGACGTCATCAAAATTATTGCCATTGGGTGGCTACGTGTCCATATATTTGAGCATAGCTCTCTTGTTTTTTATATTATCAAAAGGGTGCATGCCACACACTTGTGTTTTAGGCCAGTATGGTCTTGTGCATACACGCCGTCTTTAATATTTATAACTGTCAACTCTTATATATTGCTTTTACGAGACGAAAAAGCATACAAACATACCGCTTATACCAGACAAGAAATGATAAGCGATACTCCCTTCTATCTAATGGATTTTTTATTGGCCTAGCATGTATTGATAGTCAGTCATATATTCCATACGTGGTCATGTAATGTATTGAAAAATATAATTTTCACTCAACCAGGCTTGGTAGGGAGTGGTAAAATTATAAAAACAAGAATGTAACGTAAAACTCATCGTGAATTTCATTGTAACGACGCCTTGTTTACGTCTCTCTACGCGTATTAGCCTTGAAAAAATGTAACATTTGTTGCACCAGGAAGCCTCCGTGCAGTAATAATTAGGGCGTGACGTCATCAAAACCGTCAACTGAGGTGTTGAATTTGAAAATTTCGTAAGACAAATGTCCACTCCTCGGCAACGATTTAGCTATAATCACAGTGGTCGTACAAAAACAAGAGGAGCACAATATGTTAAAACAAATTTTGAAGGTTTTTTCTGCTTTTCAGAATTTTTTAGTTTCAAAATAAAATATATATCATAAGGATAAGGATTTACATATTTATCCAGGGGGAGAGGAAAGCCGATAAGACGGCTTAACCATATGGCGAACCACGGCCTCTCGTCCGGTTACCATTCCATGTCGGGTATGGGATTAGTTAGTTATTTGTTTTCGGAAGCACGGACTTGATGGCAGAGGAAGCCGTAACCGACCAGCGGTTACGTGACCCACCCTACGGCGGCTAGGAGTCCAGCGATTCTCTCGCACATAACGCACTCTGTGCCCGACCTATTGCTGTAACACATTCTCAAGTAAAATAACATATATATATATATATACTAGGCTTAGTAGGCTATTTTTATTGTCTCACATCAACTAGATCTAAGGTTTATACTTTATGTCGGTTTTATCTGCTTTTCTGATTCTGTAACCAGTTCTTTTGCTGTTATATATATACATACTATATTAAATTAGAATATATGTGCTGTGGAGTTTCAGTGACTAGCAAATATGTAGTTGGTGGTTACCGCAGAATTAACAGTGATGGTCTGTCTGCCCCTATATCAATTCCTTAAACATGTATACCAGAAAGAAAATAATGAATCAAATTTGCTCAACTAACCCGTTCTGATTTCTCCATGGAACCCAAAGAAGACCTCTAATTTGAATCTACCGTTTCAGTTTAAAAATTATGTTGAAGTCCATGCAAACTCCTGCTCCACAGACCTAAACGACAATATTTGACGCAGTTCATCAAATCAAATTTTGATTTATCGCAATCATTTTCTGGTCTATGGCATTTCACCAAGCGATTACAAGTTTTCATCATAATATCTAATTCAATCATGTCAATAAATGTTTCCCCGCGAATGTTGCCTCGTGTTGTAAATATTACATTGATCCTAATAGAGCGGCTTTGTTAATTCGGGCATTTCATTCCAAGCAAGCCTAAGTATGAACTTCCACTAATATGCAAGGGCCAACTTTATGTCTGGGTGGACCCGAACGTTTCTCTTTTCCTCGAAATTACACAGGATTGAACTGGGAATCATATCTTCTTTTTGAATAGCACCATGCAACAAATAATCAGTTCCGGTTGGTGATAGCTGGACTGTGTTGTAAATATCAGTTTGAACTGGAATACATATAGTATACGAATTAACTTAAAAAAATTGACATACACGATATCACCAGACGGATTACAGGATTAATGATGCTCAGCATGCGACACTGTCTGACTGTCTCGTTGCATACGTTTTCATTCATGAGTTCGATGAAATGAATAAATAGATTTTCACATTATATATTTAAGTTCAATCGTTATCTATTCGATAACATCCCCATTGTAACTCGTTACTACTTCTATATTTGCAGCTATTCATCCTTTCCATACACTACAGCAAGGCTACTCAACTGGCGGACCGCGGTCCGAATCCGGACCTTTCGAGTATATATTTGAATCGGACCGCACCTAATTCTTTATATTGGATCATTAGCCCCACTTTTGAAGTTTCCTTTTATAAAATGACATTTATAGTTTTGGATATATATGAAAAAAACTATAATACCATAATAAACAATCTTGATTAGCTGATAATCATTAGCCGGTCGCTACAGCTAGGTCTATGCAAACGGGAAATCCCCCGTTATCGCTGCTATTATGGCACATTTAATGCACGGTAATTTTTAGTAATAATATATGACAATTGCAATTAGTTAGCTCTTTAGTAAAATTTATATGGTAACTATTTGTTGAAACTCTTCTCCCCGATCTGTCAAACTAGGTGTTAGAACCTTGGGTGTCGCAGCTCGATAACCAGTTTTGGTTCCCCGCGGCTTCCCTTCCCCAGTAATTTAAATATCAACTTCTGCCAGACTGCCGTCTGGGTCGGACGTGTTTTTGTTGCTCTGTTAGATGAAAGATCAATCAATGCTGTTGGACTGAGAATGCTACGCGCTGTGTGTTTCGGTATTTACTATTAGATTTGTATCTCGTGATATCAACATGATCAAGGCCCATCCACCGGAATTAAAGAAGTTTATGGATAAAAGATTGGATTTAAAGTTTGTGTTTGGCAGTCGCCGGGTGCGGTCGCATTTTTGAACGGCGCAGAAAGATTAGATTGACAACAATGAACCAGCACTTAAGGAATATCAACAAGTAAAGGCCGAAATATGAAATTACATGGCAGCATAAAGGCAACATACGGACATCATAACAGAATCGAAAGATGAATACAACAGGGATTGATTCAGATATTTTATTTTGTGACAAAGAGTATGATATACTGCTATTTCTAGAAATTCCGCTTGAATACTGAGTATTCAACTATATATGTGTAAATAGTTTGCAGTGTAACTTACAGTGTAACATTTTTAAACATTCATTTAGTGGCATATTTTTGATTTGTTCTCTCTGTGTGTATACCGGTACTGTTTTAACAATGTTGGCCACGTCAATGTATCAATTAGGCTACAGACCTGCTCACGTGTGATTAGTGTTTTTCCTAATAATTGCTTTTATGAGTGTCCGCACACCGAATTTGCCGCCATGGTTTGCGTTTGTTTGTATATTAAACCACTTATCACCTTTTCCGCAATGCCCAATCTAGCAATCAGTGTAGTTTTTCATGGCTTGGTTTTTCTTAGCTTTCATGGCTTCATGAGTATGACTATCGTCGCAAATTTATTACATTCCACTCCCCACATTATCTTTGCATGAGGTTGTAGGTATTGGTCATTATCAACGTAATTGTTGAAAGAGAGTACAACAGCCCGAAAGTTTATTACTATCGTGTATTTTGTTTTTTAAGTTTGGCCCAAGCCTCATTTAATTGGGCTTGTGTTTTTTGTGTGCGTGCTGGTGGGCAGGCACATGAGATACTTCATGTTTTAAACTTTTTTGTAGGTTTTGCTTGCCCTCCAGAATTCTCCATTTTAAATTTAGGTTTGTTATGGAGTTTTCGAAATAAACTATCTATCTATCTATCATTTTTTCTATATATTTTTGCATGTGTTTCTTGTTTTTTACTGGTTGAAAAAAATAAACTTGACTTGACTTGAAGTGCGCGTTTAATGATGCCGAAATATAATTTCTGGAAGACCGGACCCAAATAATTTTGAAGTTTTGTATCCGGATCTTCGGTAATAATAGTTGAGTAGCCCTGCACTACAGTATTCAAATATTTAACGGAGTCTGATTCTTCGGCCGACGAAAACATGAAATGCAAGAATTATGCCAGTCGTGACCAGAAATCATCATACTTTTAATGAATATTATATCGAACAGCCGAAAAACGAAATAAAGTGGTAAAAACTGATTATAGAATCAGTTTTTCTTTAAAGTCTATCGCTAGACTGTCAATACTGGTAACTTCATTACATAAAACAGCATTTCTCGATTACCTGAACTTCCTATGCATATCTGTTCAACGTTTCATTATTATTTCAATATTCATGAAACTAAGCGTTGAGGAACTAGAATTAAATGTCAAAAACAGAGGTTAAACACCATACTCGCTGATGTGCGATGAATACAAGTTCTGGAACGAATTCTCAGTAGCCTACTACGTCATCAAAGGCCGTTTTCGAACAGAAACAGAAATTAAACATCATACTCGCTAATGTGCGATGAATACAAGTTCTGGAACGGGTTCTCAGTACTACGTCATCAGAGGCCGTTTTCCAACTGCGGTCGATTTTCGCTGAAACGGTTTTAAAAAATTTAGGAATAGAAAACTAAGTCAACTTCATGTAAATAGTAAGTGTCAAAAATTCTGAAAAAATATATAGAATCGAATGTATCAAAAAATTTTTCTCACCATTAACGGTCTGGTGTAATGAACGAATTGGATCTATCATCATCGTAGAAATGGGCTCGCGTAACCCACGAACATCATTATTTCTGACAACCACTGGTAGACTTTTTACTTTGCTATACTCACTGGTTTTTCTTCATTTTCGAAATCTTCTATTTCCTATCCTTTATCATTAACTGTTGTTTTTAAACTACTAACGAACGGATTTTTATGCGGTTGTTTTTTGTCGAGGTATGGAAAAGGCAAAATCTCTTATCCTATGGAGATTGGCTGTCTCTCCTTAGGAATGATACTTGACGAATATATTTTTAATATACTTTACACCTTGTACAAAACTTATTCCAGCTTCTTCTACATTGTAGATTCATGCAGGCGAATTGAAAAGTAAATTTTATTTTATGTATCACCGCCCCACTATATGTCATATTATTTATAGACTGTGTGCTTGTTTAGAAATTGTAATCATTTGAGCTGCATATAAAAGAGTACAAGTGTGGTTCAGACGATTCATTTGCTGAGTGGTTTCATGGCCTAACAGAGGAACGAAATCGCAAAACGAAATGTTTACGACTCCCATTTTTTGTGTCGCGCTCACTTGCGTTGTAGTATTGGCTGAGGCAGGTTTTGCTCCTTCTGATAGCGAGGAATTTAAACTCACAAGATGTCTTCTGCACAAGTAAGTGCTGGTAATGATAAATGGGGAATATTAAGGTTGTTATTGCAGGTTTCACTAACCGAGCTTTTATTTAACATTTTCATAGACACGGCAATATTTTGGTACATCTAACCCACACATACACTGAATTCGATTGAATTAGGGTATTTAACAGAGTGACCAAACGGCATAATAATAGAAGTTCCTGTAAATATTACAGTATTATAAAAATGTGAATAGTTGCAGAGATAGCAAAAATGTCAAACAAATATTATCCTCGTTTATAGAACGCGAGAGCATCGATGCACCAGAATTCTACGTGCTTTTCGGGCACAGAGAGTCAAACGTGAGTAAGATTTGTTATATTCAATCCTTAATTGTCAGATTTGATTGTAAGTGTTATTGAATTTGTATGAATTTGTCAGTGTTTTTTCAACCTTAAGAACTAAAAGTTTTGTTCAGATGAATTCTGCAAAAATAAAATTTCAGGTAAATTAAGAAATTTGCATGAATGTTAAAGCCGACAGATTCAGTAGATTGTTTGTTTGTTAATGAATATTTTAAAGGCTATCAACTGTTCTCCTTCATATTTTTTCGCAGTTCATGCAATTATATATTTTAGTCTAACTGTAATTATTCGCTATAATTTTAATACTATGTATTGAACCATGGTAAGTAAATTAGGAGTTAATTTGGATAATTTATCTTGCAGTAACATTTAATCACGATTCGTCGAAATATTCATTTCGTGATTTATCACAATTCCTATGCCATGCAGTATAAATTACTGAAATTTTTGAACCGCATAACGGGATACAGCGGTTGTTTATTCGCACCAGCGCCTTGTTTACTGATCACTATCGCAGACAAATCCTTGCAAAACGACCTTGACTCAAATATCTCTCCCGAAATTGTGCAAATCTCAAGTATTATTAAATTTCGCGCAAAAAAAAAAAGTGGCCGTGATGGATTAAATGATATATAATAAAATTTAATAAAATTTTGTGAATGCTTCCTTATCTTTGTTTATCTTTACACTAATGAATGACTTGTTGCATGTTTTAATTCAACGTGTGAAACTAGCATAGTCGAACCGAACCCGAATGAACAATATAAATTATAATGTAATACAATAATTTCATTCGAAATTGAGATACAACTAAGATTATTAGAAAAAAGGTATTCCTGTATTTTTATGTTGTTCGAATGCATGACGATTTGAAAAAACGTTATATAATCTTCCCATATAGCATGATTTGAGTATAATTGAATTGCATGATTATTACCATATAAAAATATATTACTGATTCGTAATTGATTATTAGTCTGAAGCATATTGCAAAGTATTCACTGCGTGTTTATATATATTTCAGTATTTTCATTTGTAAAATTTTGTCCCAGAATACTTATTCCAGTATTTACTTCTTTACGTACAGACGTAAAAATGAGCACTACATTTTTAAACCGAAGTCTGCGATTCATATTTGTCAACTATATCCTTATATTATGTATATTTTTAATTTGATAAAGCATCGAAACTTGAATATTATACTAAAACTGTTTATAAAAAAAATGCAGGTGCTATTAGCGAAGATGAGCGAACTGTATTCTCTTCTCCAACCAGCGAGTATATTTGCGGTAATCTTTTATTTACTGTTTTTCTCTTCTCTCTACAAAGTATCCTTAAATTCGTAGTTTGAAGTAAATAAAATATATACCTTAAAATGCTTTGCGTGTGACAAATTGCTTATTTTATTGTTTAATAGTAATCAGCTTTTTAAGCCATGAACAAGTGATTGGGTATTTTGATAATTATTGCCTTGGATAGATTTGCAATATCCCTCGATAAATAATGAAATCAATTGCACAGCAGCAAATTAATTCACACTAAATTTATTCTATATTTGACTAAACTATAATCAAGTGGATTAAATAAGATCTGAATGCTATTTTCCAGCACTGAGTGAGTACCAGAACACAGAAAGAAGCAACCAAGATGTAATGAATTCTACATTGAATGTGGGAAGTTGCAATCGCATTTTTTCTTCGATGAGAAAAACTTGGAAACAATTTTTTGCTCAACGTGACTACGAAAGTCGTGTTCAGAACCCGATGATGAAAAGACGCAATGGGTCAAGAATTTTAGCGAGGTTCAGCGCGGGTGTTATTGCTGACAGGTATTGTTGTATAAAGTTACGAATTTTCTCGGAAATCGTGACTGCATCGGTGTCAATTTTCTAAACCCATAAAACGGCAAACACGCAATCAACCATTGCCTATTTTTTAAGATTCAACCTCGGCAATCTGAAAGCTGCCGATCTTATAATATCAAGATCCGCATCTGAAGACATCGAAGTTTTCGGAAAATATGCAGTAACTGTCACATTCCGAACTACAGACCATGGATACAATGGCGATGTAATAGTACACAACACATTGCAGGTAAAACCATATTATATATGAAAATAAATTTTAGTGATATAGAAGACGTGATTTATTATACGCTAATTTATTTTCTCCTACTTCACAATTTTTCGATATGAATGAATCTCCACCGAATTTATATCAATAGCGATTCGGCTATTATCGAACTTAAATAATCGATATATATATTTGATATTGCTTTGCAATATCTAGCCGTACTATGTAGATGTAATTTTGATCAAAATAAAATCCTGCATCATCTTCAGTGATGTAATGATCAAGGCCTTTTAAAATTTCGTATTTCAAATTTAATATAACTACCTTTTTTAGCCTCAAAGCTCTGATATAAAAGTCATTCACTTGCGCATTCCATGCAAATGTGAAAATTTGATTTCCTTGAGGAATTCTGATCATATTCTCTGAATTCTCATAAAAAGTCTTCGTGATTTACATTTGGTGATGATTTCCTACAACATGCCCCGCCCTTTTTGACCCCTCATTTGCAAACATATAGTTATCCCTTGCCGGAATGATTCACGATCGGCCCTTTTGATTTTCCTGTTATTTCAATAGTTTGATTGAAATTTCTCTCAAATATACCAGTATTAAAAATCTAAATAGTAATCATGAAATTAGTTAGATGCAAAGATGGCTGAATGGTCTCGATCGTTATTTAAATGATTTCTCACGCAGAGGGCCATTTGAGTGGGCAATTGTTTGTCTGCCTGTTATAGATTGCTGGCTTAAAGCTGGAGCAAAGTTAGCCGCAGTGGTATAAAATAAAACCTCAAATACAGGTTGTTGTTTATATTATTAATATCTTTGAGATTGGAACTAATTGGAAATGATTATATGAAAATCAAGTTTAACCTCAGACATTGTGAAAAAAATTATTTTCTAGTTGTATCGCTTTGATCTTTCAATGTTGCTTCGGCATTGCCAAATCACGTACACGTCTGCGAATTGCGAATTTATCAAACATCACAGGTGCGTAGGGAGTGAAATATATTTGTTTTGGCGTCTAGATAAAACTAGTCAACAGAATAAGCGTGAGAAAGCATATCTCCGGAACAAACTATAGATAAATCAATCATTTCCCAGATTTATAGCGCGAGTTCGTCTATATATATTTAATAAAACATAGCGTTTGTTTCTTTCCAGCTTTGCATGCTTCGCTATAAATAAGCTTGATAGCAACTATATTAACGATATTGAAAAAATGAATGATTTTGCAATCCAGTTCATAAGCCGTCTCAGCGGATCGCGAATTTATATTTTTTATGCAAAATTTCACGACTTGGCGCCCATGTTATCGAAACATAAGATTACTCTACTGCATGCTTTGTTGTAGCATTCATTTTCATGAATTGTTTAAATTTCAAAATGCATATAACAGGCAACCTGCCCTTCGGCGGGAAATCGATTTTTCGTTGCGGGGATAAATCAGAAGGGTATACAAAAGATTTCGAGTTATACTCCCGACCAGCATGACTTCTTCGAATTTGAAATTGAAGTTTCCTCTCAAAAACAAATCGTGAAAGGTATTTTATTTTGTTTTAGTTTATTTATGGCATTGTGCATGCATTTTATCAATTTTTCTTTGGTTTGCAGGAATGATGTTCTTGAAATGCAATATTACAAATTAATATTCAGATTACATTGGACACAAAACTTTTGGGAGTTAAGTTTTACACGTAATTCAGTAATTTTCAAGGGACATCTTTTTGCAGAAAATGCCTTTTTGCATTTCAAACCATTTGTATAATTGACTTCATTAGTCGCTTTTTTCAATATATGATTTGGTATTTTTATTCACTCAGTCAACATATGACTGATTTATAGATAAATCGTGAACTTTCGCCGTTTCAATGAATATTATTATCTTATTATATATTATTTAAATCGATTCAATTCCGCTATCAAATATCAGCAATAAACTAGTCGCGACACGATGAAGATTTTCTATTGTGAGTTGACATGTAAAATATATTTGAGGTTAACTATTTGGCACGTCGGCGATAGGAGCCGAGTTTGTGTGACTAAAGTCAGCGCTACATCACGTGGATTTACGTAATACTGTCTGACAAAAATTAAATGTCTTTTCATGTCCTGATAATGGCTCAATAGTAATATAACTATTCGCAATATCGTAAATTTGTTCCCATTCAATTACTTATACAGGCCGTATGAAAGGAAACAGGAGTGGTTCGTACTGAAATATAATGAATGAATTGTAATGAATTATTGTACGGCAGGTGTTGAATTGAGGCCACATCACGTATACAAAAATTGTAATTTGATGCAAGCTTTCATAATCCCCCATCGCCCTCTCTTTAGCGCCATTTACGACAACGTTTTTTGTTTTCATTGTAGTACATTCGCTTCTTTGAACGAACCTATTAATCTTGATAAGCTTTCAAAATTAACAGTTGATGCAGATAGTTACCTGGAGCAACAATTTGACATTGGACTAGAAGTTTCCGGACTCGTTCTTCATATGACCAGCACAAGAGCGATTCTGCCTTTGAGGAATGTGAATATTGACCGCAGTAAGCTTATTATTTTTATAGCGAACGTGTAGCATTGCTGCATGCTTGGATGTTCGTTTTCATAATTCCCAGTATATATAGTATGTATTAACATTTTGAAAGTTTTATAGACACTTCAAAAACTTGTATTTTTGGGGGGATTTTTGATTTTAAACAAGTGAAAATGCTGTGACAGTAGGACTGATATGTTTGGGTAGGGGCAGATCTTGTGTGTAAACTAGTTTGTTAACCGAATTTACATATTTTATGTTTCTATCTAATGAAATATTTTTGATCATATATACATATTTCAAATATACATTTCATTCTAAATATTAACGTTTATTTGTAGAGAATATTTTCATAATCTAAACAATTTTATGTTTATTTATAGAATTTATGGAGAGATTAGTGCGATTCATTAATTTTACATATACTTTCGAATCCGAATGTTCTTCATTTAAATATTTTTGACGTTCCAGCCAGCAGATCTAAACGCAGTTTGAGCTCAAATTCTGAAACAGAGAGTTGTCGGCGTAAACCTTACTCCATGGATTACAGAAATAACGATGTAAGATGAATAATACCAATATTAGGAAATTTTAAGTATTCACCTTGCCATCAAAAATTGTCAATTAAAATACAATCTATGTATTGAATTTTTAGGTGTTTTGTTTGCAAACGAATATTTCGAAATGTTGGTTTGGCTGAAATTTTTTAAATTGGCATAGCCAGATAGCCTACCCAATTTTCACCATATATGGCTAGGGTCATTGGGCACCAATACACCATTAGCTAATTAGGCCCAGTACGCCTAAGCTTTATTTCCTCTAATTTTGTGTTGAGTTTCGTGGTTGCTACATTTGAAAATTTACGGCAGAACTCAAATTGTAGTAGAATTAAATTCAAATTTTCCTTAAATAATCTTTCATTATATTATTACACCTAAACTGTTTTCTAACTTAGGCGGTCATTCGTCCATATGAAATCGACATCGGCGAGTGTGTAGGGAGCTGTGATAAAGCCTTCCTTCTTGATCTCAATTCTACAAACCATGCACTGAGTATGCATTCGGTGAGTTATTAAATTTTATATGACACTAACTGATTCATTCAAATATGTCGAATTCTATGTGGTTAAATTACAGTTTGTCATCAAAAAGTACGTTTGTTAGCATGGCAAAATAATAGCGCAATTCTCCATCCGTTGACAGTTTACCTCTAATCACTAATGTTAGAAAACCTTTGCTTGGGTTTATTATGCTGATGGGTATCTGTCTGTTTGTTACTTATTAATCTCAATTAGTAAGTAAGTCGATAGGTATTTGTAAGTTACGCGATATCACACGAAAGCGAGGTTGAATCATCATCAAGTCAAGTGAAGTCATCATCTCTCGGCCCAGAAGCCTATTGATTTTGGATCAATTATGTCGTATAATTAGCGAGTTATTGATTAATTAGTGATGATACACAAGGTGTCACTACTGAGTCAGAGCAAAAATTTGAAACCGTTTCTGTTTTGGGGGATCCCCTAACTTTCGTAGCTGAGAACAAAAGATCGATAAGTCGGCGGTCTCTGATCGCTATCTAGTATTTCCCGTTTCGGAAAATTATTGAAAATATATAGTGGCATGTCGTTAAGATGAAAAAAGATTAAAGAATAAATTATTAAATTAAAACGAAAAATATAATACGTATATACATAAAAAAGACAATAAAGTAAGATATAAACCAAAATAAAAGTTACCAGAAACAGAATTTAGATACAAAAGGTGTAAATCGTTCCGAATACGCTTTACGCTTAATCGATAGTTTTCAGTGGATATGCTTTTGTTTACTGGTACCTGCCACGGCTGGACTATTATTTATTTAGCTTTCGTGATCAAATGTCGAACTATCATGACAACTAGTATCACTGCGTCTTGCTGACATAATCACCATAGCATACTTGAGTCTAGTGGACATTTGCGTTATTTATCACCATCTTGTAATTGAATTCCGCGTTGGGTCTGGGATTAAATATATTTCTTCTTTAGAGTGTTATTAGGACTGTAATTGAGATTTTTGCAGGACAACCATTGCTGTTAAAATGGTATTTCATCTTAATTTTAGGAGCGTCGTAACAAAAAGAAAGATTCAAGAAATCCACAGCCAACTGTCTGTTGTGCCCCCATTTCGTATCGGAAGCTGCACTACATAACCTTGGATGAACGAGGCTCATTAATGAGTGCCTACGTGGACAACATGATTACTGAATATTGTGGTTGTATCTGAGAATGGTTGACACCAGATGGATGTAAAATTATGTTGTACAAACATTCAATATTATGATGCTCCGGTTTGGGCTATTTTTATTATTGCTTGTACAAAGCCACAAATCGGCAGGTAGTTTCTTCAATTCTAGTATACCGCCGCATGCTAACAGACAAATAAGTTGATTGATTTGTTGGGACATAGCATGAGAAGTATTAAATCAGAGTTACGATATTCGCTTTGTGCTTGATTTGAGATGCTTATATTATTCATAAAATTACCAATGTGACCATCGATTCGTGAAAAAATACATAATTGTTTCAGTGAAATTTCTCGATTGTAGCTGGTACTACCTCTTGTAAATATAGACTTTGGCTGTTTTGAACATTTTTTTTATTGTTTGTAACTATATAATGTGTTACTTGGAATTTGGGATAAAGGTGTCTAAATGAATACGACTACGTGTGATGATAAAACGACACTTGTGTATGGTATGAATGCTATGTTGTTTGAAGCACATGTTTATGTTGGGATGACAAGTTTGAATTGTCTCATATAACCATGGCTAGTGAAAAGCTTTCTCACATTATTCCACCCATTGCCTTTCCGCATTGAGGTACTCATCTTCGTATTCGGGCAAATGACAAAATCAGTGTTTAGTAGACCAGGATCATTATCTCTCCTTTTTCAAAGAATCGAAGTGATTTGACTCATTGAGCCCGAGTGAAATGCAAGAAAATTTTGGACAAGTCACTATAACAAAAAGTCGATTTGTAACATCGATGAAAATTTAGGAGCTTGCTGCAGATATAACTAAAGATATAACATATTAATAGCGAGGTAGAATATCTCAATACATGATTAAATCTTATTATGAAGTTTATATAAAGTTGGTTCAGTGTGAAATAGAAAAGTTTCGCGTATTAATTGCCCACGCCACCCATCCAATCAATCACTGTTTTCGAAATCTACTGATACGAGTTATCGATTTATTACTTGGAGGGGGATCGACTTGTTGCGGGGTACGGGGATTTGACTCAACGTACGAGTTGAATATTAACTTTTAATGAAACTAGGATCCGACTCCGAAATTGTATGACCGTGACCTACTCTACATAAAGCAAATTGATGAATTCGAGTTCTTGGGTTGGTCATCTCCATCCATCATTCCGCCAGTTTTAACGTTTTAACATACTACAACACATAGGTAATATCGAAGACCAAAGGTTGAAATTTGGGATTTCACATAGATTCTGGAGTACTTTCCTATTTAACACTGTCCTCTGGTTTACACTTGTAAAATGGGGCAGATTTTTTCCCCCAATTAAGAAATAATGTTATGGATCACACTCTCATATTCAACCATATCTCATTTTTACAATTAACACAAAACTTTGCGTCTTCAGCATTCATATTTTTCAGCAACATGTACTGCAGTACTGGTGAGGTACCGTACGGTACGGTACCGCAGTGAATTACGCTCTCATCTTTTCGTTACAGTTCTGATGTAAACAACATAAATTTTGTAGCCTACCTTATTACTTTTTTAATCGGTAAGTATGTTGATAGGTATTTGTCTGTTTATCTGTCTGTCTGTTTGTCTGTTAGATGCACGCGATATCTCACGAAAGTAAGATTGATCTGCTGCAGATTTTGCATGTGCATTCATCATATCCCGGACCAGTAGCCTATTGATTTTGGGCGAATTATGTCGTATAATTAGCGAGTTATTAATTAATTAGTGATGGGACACAAGGTGTCACTATGGAGTAAGAGAGCTGTTTTGGGGGATCCCCTAACTTTCTATCGATAAGTCTTCGGTCTCTGCCCGATATTCTGTTTTTTTTTATTTGATCAGAGGAAATGGATTGAGTTCTTATATGACAAGGAAGAACCGTTCTGCGAACGAATTTCAGGTAGGCCTACTGGTAAGTTACTGTACCGCATATGATTATCGGAGAATCGATATTTTTTTTATTTTGCCCTGGTACCGTAATGGATAAGTGACTTGGATCACTTGGTATTTCAATTCACGTTGAAACTGGAAATGGCTCAAAACAGGGTTTTAGTGGCCGGAGTAGGCTACCTGTCAATCAAGTCATCGATCTAGTTACACTAGAGTGATTTTGGCGTTTAGAGGCCGTTAATCTCCGTTCTCGGACCGGGAAAGCGTTCGCCTGAGTAATGGGAATTTTTTCAAGTGGCATTGGGGTTAGGGGCAGTGCCTCCGCCCCCTCAGTGGTGAGAAAACGCGTGGAAAGCCACGCCCACTTGTTACCTATCCCCAAAAGTCGCTTTTCTCTTTTATTACTGGACCAATTGCTCTGAAATTTTCAGTGCTTGAAGATAAAAATTTTCTTTAGAAGGCTATTACTTTCATTTACTTTAAACGTGTCTATATATTTGAGCATAGCTCTTTTGTATTTAAATAATGTTCTGTCAGAGTTTATGATGAGTCTAGTTCTACGGTTTTAAGTAACGATTCTTGCTTTTCATATATATATACAATGTAGATGACATTTCTAAATTAGTTGTTCAATTGCTATATTAGAACGATATGTAAAGGCTTTTTAATTTTGATACCTCGGATGGAAAAATGTTTGTATATACACTAAAATATAGATATCAACCGAAACCCACACGAAATTGAGAATAAAACTCTTCATCCAGCATATATCGTCTTAGATATACCATCAAGATTATGAATCGAAACTTTCGCTTGTGAATGTTAAATAAATATACCGAGAATAAATCGGTTTGAATGCATTATTTTTGTTGTAAAAAATAACATTAGTCAAAAACAAGTTTTGCCTCGGGATAAAAGTTCCCAGCCAAAATCAGTATCGGTAATACCGTCCTTTCCATTAATCGATGTCGATGATAAACGACCTTCGCTGGTATAAAGTATCAATGCTTTGAATATATATATATATTACACCACACCAATAATATCGGCCAAAAGTTTTCAGATCATTTTCTGAAAACTCAAAAATCTGATTTTAGATACTTTTTCAATTTTACGATGGTAGTATTCCTCATAACTTAACACTGTCTGCTAATAGATCATTTGTACAAAGCCCCCGCCAACGCTCAAAATAAGAAAATTAGTAATTATCCCGTTGGGGTTAGGGTTAGAAATGCAGATTGCGCTGGAAATTCAACTTTTCAAATCATTCCTAACCCAAACTGGAAAATTCCTAATTTGTCATTTTATATCTAGCCGGCGTTTTTACCTAAATCTCACATTTTTGCATCAGTGTACAAAAGATCCCTAATTTGAACTTGTAAGAGTTGGGAATGAAGAAAAACAACTCTTCGGGCACACTCTCATATTTGAGAATATTTATTAATTTTTTTGCATTCAGAACAAAACAAAGTACTTTACGTACTCAGTTTCAAAAATTTTCAGTATTCCCTACTGAAACATCAATGAACAATCAATTCATTTTCTTTCCCTGTCGCATCCGAGCGTGATACGTTTTCTGAGCAATATCAAGTTGTTACATGACTGATGAATAGCAATATGTTTTAGACATTCTTCTCTCGTACTTTTCGGAGTTTTCTTCTTGAGTTTCCTACATTTCTTTTCTTCAGCTTTTTTTTTTGATTTCTTGCATTTCGTCGTCGGATATATACGCTCCACAAATATGCCTGCACCCAGCCGATAGTGAGGTCTAAAAGAAATAAAAAGCAAATAACAAAAATTTTTGTTTTTTAACAGCATGCCGCGTTTCAATTGTACTCTAGTTTCCAAATACAAAATTCTGTATTCGTTAGCACTATATTGGAGCAGTTAGAACTGTGTAATATAAATTGGAAAGAGCGGAATTAATAGCTCTCTCCTGTAGTAGCCTATAGCGGAAATTATAACTTTGATTATTTATTTTTGATTATTGGCATTTTTTCTTCAAGCTAATCTTATTAAACCCACCTTGGCAGTTCACCCCCTTTGAGAATATTGTCATCATCTTCGTAATTCATTTCCACACCATTTCCGATCATGAGAAGCGTTCTGTCCTTTTTAAGAAACGGTTCCTTGAAACAAACAAATGTATAAATTTTAATGGAGAGGATATACCATAATCACGTAAGATGGAATACAATATTTTGATTTTTCCTACTAATTCTACATATGGAGTGCTAAAAACAAATTTGTGGCATCTTTCTACTTATCTAAAAAAGTTCATTTGACCATGGTTCGACTGTCGCAAAATTGCGAGTTTCAGAGAAATTATCAAACTCAAAAATGGTTATAATAACTGGAGCCTACCTTTTTACCGTCTTTATCCACCAACGCTTTATCATCTCTACACGATTCAAAACAATCTCGCCTTACACTGAAATTTCTGTTTTGATTTCTATCCACATCCAGATCGTCACCTGAGCAGGAGAATGAAGAAATTTTGAGTTTTTACTACATCCACGATCAAGGTTTGCTGTGGTAATATTATTACAATAATATATGGCGATGCCAATCCTACGAACACTTTTTTCAGACTACGCTCTATTTTTTCCATCGTAATAGGTGAGAAATAGTGTTTCCTTGAATTCTGGAATTCAAACTATATTAACGCCTCGGTCAAACCTTTTTCAAACATCGGTGGCGGTGATGTGTGATGCATGGCTCATTTTATGACGTAGGACGTAGGTTATACAATACAAATAAGATTGTTTGAATGTCTCTTTACGAACAAGTGCATTAGACTGTAAATTGTAACGTTATGTTTATTTTCAGCTATTGTGGATATCTTCGTCTCACCTGCTTTATAAACCTCAACTATTTGGATAGCAAAATCCATAAATACTCCACTGGGATCTTCAACTCCATCCGAAGTCACTTTAACTTCATACACATAATCACTGAATAAATATATCACAAGTTAGTGAAGTTGTCAGCAATCCGTAACTCAATGCATATACGCATTTTTATGCACACTCATCTCTAGGTTTCATTTATATACAAACTTGTCGTATATTATGTTAACGTTCCAAAGGGAAGGAAGAGTCACTTATATACTGTGAGCGCGGCAAAGTTATTGACCACTTTCATTGATAAACATTTACTTTCTCTAGGTACACAAGATTGAATTTGATTGAAAATAAAGTAAATACTGTATCTATTATATGTCTTCGCAACTTGTATATATATATATAATATATATCTAATACGGTAGTTAAGTAGACATAGCGTGCTAAAAAAGCGACAGTTATGTAGACGAAAAAATTGTGTAGACATTTTCCTGTCCGCTTAATTATTCCACGTTCCATAATTAAAACGTTTTGCGATATTTTGCTGAAATCTTTTTTTCTCTGATAAAACAGTATCAAAATAATATGTTCTTTCAATATTTTTTAAATAATTGCACATTTTCGCCAACTTTAATGGGACAGTAGTTCTGCTGGTTTATAATCCACGGGTTTAATTTTCGTACATAAAGTGGACATTTTATTTATGCAAAAATCTTTTAATTTTTCGGTATATGTTTTTACGATTTTTGGAGAGTAGGTTTGATAATTTTGATACAATAACCAGGCAGAACATGAAGATCGTCCGTTCTGTTTTTTGCAATATAAGCTCAATAAACTGAAAAGGACCTCAATTCACAACTCCGTACTAAAGAGGCTTTGTGTCGCAATAGTAAAACTGTCGGGTTCGCCGAGAACTTTACCACGTTTGCCGTTTTGTTCGCAAGTAACCTGGGCGCCGTGAGGGGATTGGGATCTTCATGAGTGCGTGATTGCCGAAATTTAGATAAAATAGAACAGTTGTGTTTGGAGAAGCGATCCAAGTCTTTTGTGTCAGGTGTTATCAGTTACCCAGTGAGTTGAAGTCGAGTCATAACAAGCAAGGATTTCAACGTCACCGAGGAATGCAGCTGGAAATCATCACTCATCGGATAAGGTGATTAGTCATAACGATTTTTAATATTAGGGTTACTATATTTTTGGTGTTGAGATTTTTCACGTAATCCAGATTATCAAAATATAGACTACTGATACTGTTATGCTTTTACTGGTCGTAGTTCTGATCTGACCATCAAAATAATGCTACGACTGGGTTTGCTTTTGTAAGAGTGTGTAATTCAGAAGGATTCCAAATCCAGATGAAAATATAAACGAAGATTGTGAAAATTCAATGAATTCAATTTTTTGTCGAAAAAGAAGGATATACGAGAAGCGAGTGGTTGACGTTTGTATAGTTTGGTGTAAATAAAAATATCTAATACACCGCTCCATATTAGATTAAAATATTTCATCTTCGGAAAACAGTTTTGAAGAATTGCAATGCTAGCAATTTTGTTTTGTGATTTGGCACATATCCCTGAGTTATTTTACCATCCTCATCTAGTTATTTACTGGGCTGTATTTTTTGTTCACATTTAGGTGACTCTCCAACGAGATGGCCCACGTTTCAGAACATGGCAGACGGAAATGCGGGTAGTGATTCGGGGAAAGCTGTGCCAGGAGGTGACTAAATGGGTTTGCTATGCTTGTTTTTTTTTATTAAATACAGTATCGTAAATTGATACCAATGAATGGTAATAAACCAAATCATAATATGATTTGTAGCCCATCACAAATAGCGCAGCTATCTACGAATAATTGTAGTGCACCTTTTGAAACTCTGGTTTATTTGAGTAATAATGCAATTATCCATTTCAAACATTTCGTTTGTTCGATCAATCAAGAGTAGCGTAATTCTGAATTGGACTAAAACACTGTGATGATGTTTTGTGACTTATGCATGTATTTTTGACCAAAGTTTCAGATAAGTCAACAGACTATACCGCACCATCTTCAGAATCACTTTCAATAAGCAATGTAAGTGATTTCAAAGAAAACCATATATATGGAAAAGAAAAAGGCTGTAAATCAATTAAAAAAAAAGCTTTTAAACAAACGCGAACCAGAAAAGAAACGACGAAAAGAAAAATATTTGCACGGATTGGTATATCTTGCGAGAAGTTTATTGTAAAGCTTTAAGACATCTCTGTATAATTCATAAAGATGAACCGGCAGTGAGCATAATCTTGTCTCTCCTCAACAACTTAACCTAGTGGGCATATCCACATTCGTATACATACTTGGCATACATTTTTACTATTTAATTATAAATTCAAAATAACAATCATGTTTTTGTATTCCGAGTTGGTGCATTGAGGTTCAATAATTTCATTTTGATCGCTTGTATAGTTGACTGTATATTCACTGCTATAATTAGGCGCCCTGATAGGTAGACATTTGAGTTATAATTGGTGTAATGCTTTTCATTTTAATTGACATGGCAAAATTTCGTTTCGCATTTATAGGCCCCACTGAAAAGTCACTTAATTGAACATTTGAGATATGTTGTGTATAATGTTTCTCGATATTTTATTCAGAATTTCGTGTTTTAATTATATACCCTCTGAAATGGTCGGATGCTTGAAATTTTTTTTGAATGCTTCTCAATATTATTGCCATTCCAAAATATCATTTTGCATTTACATGACACACTTACGTAGCTGAGTAGGTTACGATTTGCGATTTATTTTCTGTTTTGTTTTTCAATATGGTTTCAAAATTTTGTTTTATAATATTTGTCACTCTCAAGTTATCGGATAGGTGAACATTAGAGATAAATTTTGAGCAATTTTCCACAACACCAAAATATGATTAGTATTCGAAATTTCGTATTTCAGGTAAATTTCACACACTTAAGTGTGTGAGATATATTTTGTGTAAGATTTCTCAATACGATTCCAGAATTTTGTTTTAATAGTTGTATGCCACACTTGGGTGGTCGGATATGCGGACATTTGAGATATATATTTTGTGTAATGTTTCTCAATATTATTTCAGAATTTTCATTTCAATTTTTGTATGCCCCACTTAGGTGGTCGGATAGGTGGACATTTGAGATATACTTTGTGTAATGTTTCTCAATATGATTTCCGAGTTTTCATTGTGATTGTTTTATGCCCCACTTAGGTGGTCGGATAGGTGGACATTTGAGATATACTTTGTGTAATGTTTCTCAATGTGATTTCAGAGTTTTCATTGTGATTGTTTTATGCCACACTTAGGTGGTCGGATAGGTGGACATTTGAGATATACTTTGTGTAATGTTTCTCAATATGATTTCAGAATTTTCATTTCAATTCTTGTATGCCACACTTAGGTGGTCGGATAGGTGGACATTTGAGATATATATTTTGTGAAATGTTTCTCAATATGATTTCAGAGTTTTCATTGTGATTGTTTTATGCCACACTTAGGTGGTCGGATAGGTGGACATTAGAGATATACTTTGTGTAATGTTTCTCAATATGATTTCAGAATTTTCATTTCAATTCTTGTATGCCACACTTAGGTGGCCGGATAGGTGGACATTTGAGATATATTTTTTGTAATGTTTCTCAATATGATTTCAGAATTTTCATTTTAATTCTTGAAAGCCACAATTAGGTGGCCGGATAGGTGGACATTTGAGATATACTTTGTGTAATGTTTCTCATTACGATTTCGGAATTTTCATTTTAATGTTTCATGCCACACTTAGGTGGCCGGATAGGTGGACATTTGAGATATACTTTGTGTAATGTTTCTCAATAAGATTTCAAGAGTTTTCATTTTGATTGTTTTATGCCACACTTAGGTGGTCGGATAGGTGGACATTTGAGATATACTTTGTGTAATGTTTCTCAATATGATTTCAGAAGTTTCATTTCAATTCTTGTATGCCACACTTAGGTGGCCGGATAGGTGGACATTCGAGATATACTTCGTGTAATGTTCTCAATATGATTTCAGAATTTTCATTTTAATGTTTAATGCCACACTTAGGTGGCCGGATAGGTGGACATTTGAGATATATTTTGTATGACGTTTCTCAATACGATTTAAGAATTTTCATTTTAATGTTTAGTGCCACACTTAGGTGGCCGGATAGGTGGACATTTGAAATATACTTTGTGTAATGTTCCTCAATATGATTTCAGAATTTTCATTTCAATTCTTGTACGCCACACTTAGGTGGCCGGATAGGTGGACATTTGAGATATACTTTGTGTAATGTTTCTCAATATGATTTCAGAATTTTCATTTCAATTCTTGTACGCCACACTTAGGTGGCCGGATAGGTGGACATTTGAGATATATTTTGTGAGATGTTTCTCAATATGATTTAAGAATTTTTTTTTCAATTGTTGTATGCCACCCTTAGGTGGTCGGATAAGTTGACATTTGAGATATATTTTGTGTAATGTTTATCAATATTATTGGAATGTCATAATTTTGACTTGGTATTGATATCTTGACACTCACAACATAGCATCTGTTTAATCCATATGTTACACCATAGGGTTGGAATAGGCGAACATTTGTGATAAGCTCTGTGTATTTCTCAGTTTCAAATATATAACACGTTTGGATCAATTTGTTTCGATTTGTCTACCTTCACGTTGCATTTTGAGTATTTTTTGATATAGAAAAATATTTCCAAAACCAAACACAGTGCATCTCCCTTGCACGAAAGACGCAACATTGAAAAAGAAATGCTACTTTTTGTGATAAATATTGCTAAATCGTTCGAATCCATCGGAAATTGAAGCGAGGTCATACGCTTTAAAATGCGTATTAAAATAAAAGCAACATCATTTATGTAGACATCCAGAGCGACATATAAGAGGGGTCCGGCTTAGTGCCGAAATAGGCTAAAACATTTGGTGGTCTGAATTAAGTGGACGAATTAAGCGGACAAAAATTTTATATCTGTTATCGAGAGGATTATGTTGACTCTTTTTCTCCGTAGTTGTCAACGGCTCTCGCGCTCTCCAAGCACGTATTTAAAAACATTGATACGGACACAGGAACGACGTCCGCTCAAGTACTGCAATTATGGCAGGTCCGTTTAACTACCGTAATAGAGTTATATATATATATATATATATATATGTAGTTCCAAGTTTACCTTTTGCAGGCTGTACCTGCTAAATCGAAGCAGTTGTCAGGATCGTGGCAAATGGTGCATTCTCCATCCATGCCTTCCAAACATCCTGTATTTTCAAGTTGTTGTTTTCTCGTCCTAATTTCGTGAAAAATTAATGTTACTGTAAGTAGGTAAAATATTTTAATAAAAATATATATGGCAGATATAATTTGAATTCAGGCACACTAAGATTTAGAGCATATTATTTGTCCACTGTCAAGTCTCATATTCTCAGGTCTTTGACATAACAAAAACTGACATAGAACTTTTCGAATTATAAAAATGATAAATTCAATACGCAAAACATGAAGAATACGTTAAATAAGCATGTAGAGAACATATATATTGGGTAAAATGAAAGGTATATGAGATAACAAAAACTATTAGTATAAAATAATTTGCAAAAACCTGCATGTTAAGCATCCGCCTTCGGCGCATTTACAAATGTCTTCACTGCCCAGTCCATTTTTATCAGTACAAGACGATGTTCGAAGTTTCAGATTTTGTTCCGGAACATTGTAAAATTTACTGCATCTAACCTGTTACATAATTTGATTATTTTTTTAATATGTTTCAGTAAAAGGTAAAAGCATTAAGCAGTATGATATGAAGTATTACCGATGGTTCGTAGTAATCATAAACAGTGACAGTAGATGGTTCAGGTCGGCCAACATACACTGATCTTGATATTCTGAATGCCAGCTTTTTAGGGACTTCCGTAATGTCGCTCAAATACAAAAACACTTTTTGTTTTGCGATCTCGTATCTTTCAACTGCAAAAGAAAATTTCTTCCGTAATTGCTGTTGGGTTCTTTCAATATAAATAGTACAAAATACAGTTGCAACTTCACTCCCGGTATGACAAGAAAATATCCCGGAAATATCTGAATCGATTGTCGTGCATAATAATATTAATTTTTGTTTAAGGCGATATGATCTGAGAATATATACTGCTAACTTGGTTTTTGTATTAATAAAGTATTAGAAAGAATGCCAAGAATAGCATTAAGTAGGTATAGTGAAAATAAAATGATAAAGAATAAAAATTTCAAAAAACAAGAAGGCTCATATGATATATTTCATTGCTTTTACTTGATGCGTCGACGGTTTCGGACAGTTTGACGAGTGTGTCTTCCATCACTTCATAGCCTGAAATCAAGTTGATTTCAACGATTGATTGTCCAGAAGGTTCTCCTTTGGGTTTAGAAATGTAAAGCTGACAAAACATTAGGTATATGTTTGTTAGAAATATTTTGTAACATTGAATATAATAAGTATATTTATCATATGCTCGAAGAAATAATAGGGATGTACTATAACAACAACTCTAATTGCATTGAATACGTTTATGATGTGTATATATCATGTATAAAGATGATATGGTTACCCCTTATTCAATGCTGTTTTGTCGGGTTGGTATTGTGGTAACATCCGAATTTGCATTATAAGACTCCGACCACTTATTACATGTACGAGAGAAAATATATCTCGTGCTCTCTCCTCGTCGGGCAATAATAAACGTCGGCTGCTTTTGAGTTGTGTTTGCTGTCATTATTGCTGTTATAAGTGTTCACGTTGGAGTTGCAGTATCGATAAATAACCAATCCGGAATCTTAGGTCATCTGATATAACTATCACAGGGTCAAAACCTTATCTGTGACACTTACGACCTTATTATAGTTAACAAAATCTCCTGTGTTGGTACACCAAAAATATAGATGTATATACATATAAACAATAAGTTGATTTCACCTTTAATTTGAGTATTTCTGCACCGTCACCTTGAGCTACGTGACCCAACGGTATACGATCTTCTTCGGTGGACACACTGATGTCGAAATGACAAGCGTCTTCGTCCACTAGTGTACGATATACACATCGGTATGATAAAGTTCCTTCGCCTTCACCTGGAATGTGTTTATTAGCATCAATATTATGCGAGCAACAATTTATTTTATTTCACCGACATAATTAGTTAACATAAATCTACTTGTGCAAGCTTTATGCCAAGAAAAAGGTGCTTGAAATTTTCGTGGCATTGTCAGGAAACTTTTGCTTCAACTTTGACCTCGACAACAAGATCATAAGATCAAGCTTATCTATAGTGAGCACTCGGTTCATGGCTCCAAACCTTAGAACAATCTGCTCCAATTTATGGCTTGCAGGATTATTTTTACTACAAACGGTATGCAGAGCAATTTGTTTGACACAGATAATCTCTGTGTTTTTTTTTTGTATAAAAAGACTTGAATGCAATAACAAACCTCGGGCCTGAATGTTCAATTCTCCACCAGAAATGACATTAGATGGGATGGAAATTGGAGTAGTTGAGTTTTCGTTACTCTTATCTAGATGGAGTCTTTTTGGTTCATCGTACCAGTCGCTGCCAGTAGCACTACTGATGGTTAAATCAATTTTAACATCTCGTGTTGGTGGTTCCTTCAGAAAAAATTTTTTTTTTGAATAAAAACTTTAAAAAATATGACATTACTTGATGATAAGTTCACCCACTAAAGTTCATTTTTATCTATAACACAAGCTTGAAAACGTAACAGGTTAGTAATGCTAATTCGTTTTTTTATATACATGTCTATTCGAATTAGAATTGCATACCACTGTGCTACTCCAGATCATATATTCCGCAAGTGCTTGTAAACCGACAACGGTATCTTGCGTTGTTGAGAATCCCCCCTTTTCATCTCGTTGTTGAATAATCCAGAGTACAATTTTTCTTGTGACATCAAGAATATTCTGAGTGACTAGAAACAGGAGGAAACAATAAAAATAAACCTAACATATACAGAGATCAATAAAATATGAGTAAGATTAACACCAGCTCATCACACAAGCAGAACGCTCAAACAATCAAATTCTATAACGAGAATATCGGTCGGAGACCGAAGACTTATCGATCGAAAGTTAGGGGGTCCCCCAAAACAGCGCTCTTACTCCATATGGACACCGTGTGTCCCATCACTAATTAATTAATAACTCGCTATTAATATTCGACATAATTTATCCAAAATCAGTAAGCTTCTGGTCCGAGCTATGATGAATGCACATACAAAATTTGGAGCAGATTCAACCTCGCTTTCGTGAGATATTGCGTGTATTTAACAGACAGACAGACAAACAAACAGACAAAAACCTATCAACATGCTTACCGATCTTGAGATCGATAAGTAACAAGTGGACAGTTACCTTTTTCTCCTGATTGTGCATACAGTATTGATAGTAATGCGTAGCCGGTCGCTTCAACATCGATCGCCTTCGCATTACGTTTATACCAATATGCGTGAGTACCGGTGCCCTCGATTGTCTTTAATGGAGCTCCTTTCCAGAAAGCTAGTCGATTGTCTTCCGAATAATTGATTTTAGACAATAGCCTACAAAAATACAAAGTTACCATAGTTGACTTTCTAACTTGACTAGGCCGATGTGCGTTGAGCGTAGTTTTTTGGAAAGAGATTTGTATCATAAATCCCCAAACAAACTAGAACCAGTATACTTACTTTTTGCGCATTCGTTTTGCAAAAGGATTATTTGGATTTGAAACGGAAAGGGCAAAGCACACCAACGAGAGAGCGTAGGGCTGTTCCATTTGTCGATCGTTTTCGCTATTCTCCAAGTAATCAGTTGCTTTCAATATGCTGATTTCAACTTTCTTTGTGTATTGAGGACATATGGATTGGGACTCTACGAGTGACATCATAACGTATGCCGACAAACTAAGCGTACTTCCTACAGCTCCCTTAATTTATAAAAAGAAAAACGTTTTTAGACTTCACATATCGAAAATAAGATTAACAGCAAATGCAGGTGTGTATAGAGGTAATCCATGAGTCAAAACTGAGATTATTTCCACCAAGTGCGACAAAAGAGATAGATATTCATAACTTTTCTTTCAGCTTTTATTATTAATTATATCATGTTTTTATTCTTCTTTCATTCTTCATAGCGTCAGGATACAAACTAATAAATAAATAGTGAAATAACATTATTGGTTATGTTGACACAGATGAAGATTAAGAACCATCTCTCTTTGCGTATGAGTAATTTCCTAATCGGATCTGCATCAATGTATAATTTTCTATATTTCTGATTTTACCACTCTGAACTCACGTGCATTTCTTGGTGTATCACCCTTCCGCCGGTATCAAAACTTCCATCGGGATTTTGTTGATCAACCAACCAGTTTATCGACGTACAGATCGGTCCTACATCCATAGCAGTATAAAATTGTTTTGCTTGGGCAAAAATTTTGTTCACATAGGCGTTTAACCTTTGAATAAAAACAAATATTGTTGCAGAACTGGTTTATGACTTTTAAAAACAAGAGGTGGCATATTTCATTTGATTAATTTGACGTGTACACCAACTACATTATATATACATATGGTATATGTCTACTTTTTTATACATATAAAAAGGTCATATCCATTGGGTTGGTAACGTGTCAAATATACAGAATGATAATACTCAGTTCTTGTTTTCGACCCCATATATTTGAGCGTTGCCCACTAGCTATTTCACATATTTAGAATTGTGTGAGGGAGGCTTATTATCCACTTTGAGTGTGTGCCACAGATGCTCGCCACCCCAATCAGTGTTTATTGAGTTATCCTCATTCTGTCATATACCGGTAGCCTCTATTTGAGGTGCTGATTTGTTTTTAATTTTATCGCACTCACCAGACACTAGGAGCGCGACGTGGGAAAACAGACCAAACAATTGGAGCTGTCGATGTCCTGTATTTCAATTCGTTTGCAAAACCTGCAATACGGTAGTATATATGTTATAAAGTAATAAAGCAATAAGAGTCACAACGAAAGATAATCCACGATTCGCTATGAATTTAAAAGAAAAACAAATCCTCTGTTCCACAATATTGATATAGAAGAAGAAGAACAAGTTCTTTAGAATTAGCCGTAACATTTCATCTCATATGAGTCATACATGTTCAACGCCAAGTGGTAACGGGAAGTGTAGATACAATTATGTGGATGTTGTTGTGTAGTGTATATCAGACAGTATCATCCGCAACATACTAAATTAGACGTTTCACCTTTATGGCCAGTTTATTTATATATATGTTTACTATGATTTGATAAACAATTCACTGTAAAGTTTTTCACCCTTAGTCAAAAAAAGAATATTTCTGAACCTCAAACCTTTTTGCATTTTATCGATTGACCCTGTCTCCTCAGCTGACCCGTCTTTCATCTTGCCGACTAATTTTAAGTACTTGTGAGCCATCACGTTCGGACCCATTGACAACATAGTTTGTTCTCCGCATCCACCTGGCAACCTTATCAAATTCTTGATGTCATTCTTAGGTTGTTTAGTAACCGGGTCGAACTCAATGATTGGTCCCATGTAATTAGCTGCAAGTATAGTAGACGTAAAGTAATAAATAATAAACATCTCGATCAATACAATTTTTACAGACAGATAAGTCATGAATAATATTTTGCAACTTTCTCAGTACCGAGTGGGATGTAGTGTTTTTTTCGAAGAAATAAAATATTAAAAAAGTATTGGATATCACCAAAAATTAAAATATTTTGTCGACTGCTTTGGCAGTAGTTACACATGAGGAATATGTGCCAACTTTGGACATGTTGGAAATGAGACTCCTCAATGTAATTACTATATGAATAATTGCATTCTTTCAATGAAAATTGTATAACTATTATTGCATTCGTCTAATTATATATCATTCATTAACTCACAGAATGGATAAATCCAGCACTGCCTGCTTCCAGGTATATATCGTTTGGGAAACCTAAGTTCAATTTTAAATCGGTCGATGTAGCTTGGTCGTTTGTTTTTGAGATCTATGGCATATGTTCCTTTGATATCATTTTTAATTTCTCCTTCCGGCTGGATATTTAAAAAAAAAATCATGAATTTATAGAATAAAAAACAGATAGGCCCACAGTACTTCGGCAGAAAATAAAGACGGCAAGCAGTTTTTCGCCCATTCCTTTTATGGTGTTTTGTTTACTGGTTACTCGTGCCTTTACGGGTTTCATTTGTTTTGAATCTACGTTTATGCTAAAATATCCAAAAAGTCTTACTAGAACAAGTATTGATCTTTTGACGTGGTCAATATCAACATTATCTTCATTGGTAATCTTCACCTCGATGTCGACCTGCTTACTATCTGGAACTCTGAGTGGCATAAGCACTAAAGATGTTGCCTCTGCTTCATTGGCATCAACTTCTAACGTGATGACATCGTCAAATTTTCCTACAATATGTAATTCATCTTTGTCAATGCATGTTTTCCCTACACATACCTTCAAATTGTCCCTATCATTTATTATTGCAAACCTTTTAATGCTTCCGTGAGTTGGCGCTTACAAACTGGTTTACGTTTACCATAACCATAATTTCGATTCAAAATATTTATTCACCTGTCATTCAATATATACTGATATGATAGCTAATTTCAGTCTAGCTCAGCGGTGGGCACGGTTTTTGGGCCAGGAGCCAAAAAATTTGCTTAACTAGACTGGCGGGCCACGTACGTGTGACGTAAAAAGTCACATTTTACGAAAAATATTTACAGTGTCACAAAAGGAAAAACAATGGGCCTCGTGTCAAAAATGAATTTAATCGCAATCTCAAAAATATCCTTCACCTATTGCATGGCTTAACATCAAAATTTGGTTTCAGTTTGGTTGTGGCAGCATCAGACGGGCCAGATATGATTACCCAACAGGCCGGATTTGGCCCGCGGGCCATACTTTGCCAATGTCTAGCCTGTGGTATAGGGACTACGTTATATGATTTGTATTTAAGTTTTTAAAACACAACTAAAAACTGACAAATTGTTGGCAAAACCACGGGAACGAGCTTATGTTCAGTACCATGCCTAAAATCAACCTGGGTGAAAAATGTGCCGGCTACACAAATTTCAATTATTACCCTTTGGCTTCTTTCTGATTAGCCAATGTTACGGAAATAAACTATTAAGTCAACGCTCGGGAGGGGATTCATGATTCCAACTACTTTATAGTTTATATTATTACTTTGTATTGCACTATAAGCAACTTATCAAAGAGTATTTTGGATAACGTTAATTATAAATTTGTCAAAATTAGAAATATCACCCTGTCGGAAATGAGAACAAATATCTTCTCCCATCTTTACATGAACAGTTACCTGTAAAGAAAAATATTATATAAGAAACAAACAGAAGAAATGAGTGATACGGGTTAGAATACTGCGATACCGCTATCAAAAAGTTGTGTGCATGGCTCACCTCTCATCCATTGGTAAATCGGACAGAAAACGAAACTCTGAGGGAAATAAATTCATTGAAGTCTTGTGATATGGGAAGATTTTTTGAATCAGGAAACTACGAAATCAGGAAACTAGGCAATGTTTTTACGACAACAAACAAGTTTTGGATATTTTTTTAAATATTTTTTTGTTGGGATTGATGTATTATTATGTTTTTTGATTGTATTCTGAGTATAAATCTGGGCATTTTCGAATACCTGATGATTTCAGAATCGAATCGAATATTTTTTTAAATCGAATATCAAATACCTGGGAGATATAAAATTGTATGTAACATTCTTGTTGTATTAGGTCCACCAGGCACATAAATTACTGAAAACATAGAATCAGCACTAAGGCAGATTGCTGAGCTTTCACACACAATAAAAACACGTTTTCGTCATTGATTCACTACAGAAAAGAGTCATATATCAGAATTGCGTTGAAAAAATATGGCTTCAATAAAAAAATTGAGAAATTTACCTCAACCATAGACGGAAAAAAAAATCAAGATGGCGGTGATTAGAAATTTTGCTCTGAACCGATTCGAATAATTTACTATTTGATTCGAAATGCCAGCCCTAATTCTAAGTGGACAGAGGCAAAATGAATGGCTTGGGATTTATTTATTTATTATATTCTGTATGAATCAGCCAAATGTTAATTTTTAGGAATATACTCACCCGTTTAGAAGTGGTTGCATAATTAAACACCGTAGCTCGAATTTCCGCTTGTTCCATGCGTTTAAGTGAGTAAGGAAGTTTTAACTGAACAAAAGTATCTTTGAATATTGTCACGTTTTGTGTTGGCGCAACGCAGAAACCTGTAAACGTGAATTAAATATCAAGTAAACTTAACGAATATTCTATTTAAAATTTTAATCAAACTTCAGCCTAAGTTAAACATGCAAGTCTAGTGATACGTGCAAATCTATGTGTCTATATTAATGAGATATTTTTCTGACAAACAAGGACACCATTGTGTAGTTGGTGATCTTCAGGCTATAGCCTACTTCCCTTTTCTTAGAAATTGAAACAATATTGCGCTTCATGTTGTCGGCAATCGTGACGTCATATTTTGTTTGTAAATATTTCTTAATGGCTAACTATAATCGAAATCTCAAATAGGCCTTGTCGATTTGCTCGACAATTATAACTTTGAGCAGCAAGTATTCATCGTTTCTCTTAATGACGTAAGCCGCATACTCTAAAGTCACTATCACGAATGAAATTCATTCCTCCAATTGTGGTATTGTTAACATTTTAAATATTAGTAAACAATATTACCGTCAATTTCATGCATGCTGACAGTGTCAAATTCAAATGTGGTTATACTGTCTTTTGCTACCACTCCTCGGGTGTATTTTCCATCTGGTCCTCTGCAACATAAAAGAAAAAACAATCTTCACTTGCGGAGAAATTCACTCGCACTCACATAAGTTGGTCAAGTAAATCAATACTTCAAGCAGAGATTTAACGCAATTAGAAACTGTTCATATTCTTACACATTTCGAGTTTTTAATATACCCTAATTCAACATGAGCAATCTTCAAAAAAATATTCCAAACAGACTTACAATATGACATCTGTTGCCCACAACATGTTTTCTTCAAAGTTGGATCGCACATTATTAGCAACTGCTTGAAATCCTGCGACATTTGCCTGAATAGATCTGCCACTCCGTCGTCTGCAAAAAAACGATACGAGAATATGATGTATGTACGTTTCTGCCATCAATAAATGTTACTATCGCCTGTCAAGTTTATTTAGTATGCTATTAAAAAGATTCAGAAAGTGGTCATTGCCTCATTTATTGATATTGAACGACATGGTAACGTGATTTCTAACAAATGAATTGGAAGTGAATCTGATAACGCCAGTTTCCTTCGACCTATTGATCTGACAGAATCGAGTGGGGTAGGTAACATGATATAGATATACAGCCAAAAAAATACATATAGCGCCAACTGAATATACCTATAGCGCCAACTAAATATGCATATACAGCAAAAAATATACATATAGCGCCAACTAAATATACCTGTAGCGCCAACTAAACCAATTCCATACGTACATACAACGAAAAATTGTATTTGAGATCCATGTGGAGCTAGATATTTCATCTAAATATGTCATTGCTTGTCCGTCGATCTTTTATTAACGAACTCAGTGGTCAGCTAAGGCCTAATACGCAATCTTGATGTCAATTTATTTTAACATTGCTCCTCCATATTCATGATATATTGATCGGGCCCAATTGAGTTATTTATCATTCAGTTCAAGTTATTTCACATCCAATGCCAAAATAGTATCTGGTTTGAACTCACTATAACTATTGCCTGAAATAGAGCATTATTTTTTTTAAATATAATACTCAATGTTCACTCAATATATAAAATTAAAAGAAATGATGCGTACGAGAGGATTATAATGATTTCGTAGATGTGAGAGGTCAAAACGTGTGAAATTGGTCAAATTGAACCTACCTCAATTTAAAAAGTTGTGGAAAGTAACCAATAGAGGAATGTGGACCACGGTGGGACATGGGGCACGGTGGAAAATCACCTTTTGCACCTATACTATATCTATATATAATCATTCGTTTTGAAGTTTAACTCCGCCTTTCGGTGAGATGTGACGTCCCCACAAACGGACAGCGACCGTGTAGAGCGACGCAAGATATGAGTAGAATTGGTATTAGGAAGAGGAAACTAAAATGTCGCCATCTCAGTCAAACGACTGTTTGGCATATTTTAGTATTCGGCTCATGGCCCAATTCAAAATATATTCTAGATTTAAAAAATGTTAAAGGGTATTCAAATGAATAAATTATTTGCTTTTGGTCGAAATTGGACATTTTACTTGTTAATTTATAAATGTGGATTTTGCTGTTTTATTGAGCGCAAAAATATATACTACCGTTTTTCGATTGAGACCCGTGAAGCTTATGAACTTTTTAACAAAGAAGTGTCGTTATCTAGAATGGAAGTTCCAGAACTCATTTTCAATTGAAATTAGGCATAAACCAAAAGTGGAACAGTAACTTTATTCCAGATTTAATCTTAAGAATCTAAAATATTCATCTAGTAATTCTATAAAGACTCTTTAGATACGCATGTCTCGAAAATTGTATGTACTGTATGTCGCCAATGTGGAAAATTTTGATCATAAGATTTAAAAAATATTCATATAGAAGTCTAATTCTATAAAGACTCCTCAGATACGCATGTCTTCAAAATAGTTGTATGTTGTCAAGGTGAAAAATATTTTTAAAAAAAGATCCAAAATATTTCAGTTGAACATTAATTTCAGAATTATTAATTCTCCAAATCCCACATGTCCTTACGTGGTGATACTGACTCGTTGCTAGATTTTAACGGCATCTTTTGTTGAATTCAATGGACCGCCTCATTGTGTCCCAGGGTGTATTCGAATCCACCCACCAACGCACTGTGACTGAAAAGAGATTTTCAGCCAGCACATTTTTCTTGTTTTCTGCGATCAGTCGTAGTGGGGTATTATGACAACATAGATTTTGCGCCTGTTGGATATTTCTGAAGAACTAAGTTGGCGCCTCTTGGATTTTTCTCAAGAACTACGCGCACCGGCAGTTTTATGTTTGATATTTTCCACCAAGCGTTAATTTGATTATTTTGTGGACAGTTCATTGCCAATATCGAAAGAATAGTTCTTTGAAGAAGAAAAAATTTTAGCCCGCACATTTCCCGTGTTTTCAACGATCGGCTGTTGTGGGGTATTATGACATCATAGATTTGGCGCCAATTGGATATATCTGAAAAACTCAGTTGGCGCCTATGGGATATTTCTCTAGCCAGCACATTTCTCTTGTTTTCAACAAACAGCTGTTGTGGGGTATTATGACATCATAGATTTGGCGTTTATTGGACATTTCCCAAGAACTACGCGCACTGGCAGTTTTATGTTTTATATTACCCACCAAGCGTTAATTTTATTATTTTGTGGACAGTTTATTGCCAATAGCCAAAGAGTATTTCTCTGCAATAAGATATTTAGCCAGCACATTTCTCTTGTTTACAACTATCAGCTGTTGTGAGGGTATTACGACATCATAGATTTGGCGCATATTGGATATTTTTCAAGAACTACGCGCACTGGCAATTTTATGTTTATTATTTCCCACCATGCGTTAATGTGATTATTTTGTGCACAGTTTATTGCCAATAGCCAAAAAATAGATCTCCGAAAAGAGATTTTTAGTCAGCACATTTTTCGTGTTTCAAACGATCAGCTGTTGTGGAGCATCATGACATCGTAGATTTGGCGCCTATTGGATATTTCTCAAGAACTACGCGCACTGGCAGTTTTAAGTTTTATATTTTACACCAAGCGTTAATTTGATTATTTTGTGGATAGTTTATTGCCTTTAGTTGAAGAATAGTTCACTGAAGAGAGATTTTCACGCAGCTCAATTCTTGTGTAATCAACGAACAGCTGTTGTGGGGTATTATTATATTAACATTGGTAGTTTCATGTATTTTTGTCGCAATCAATATGTATTTATGTAAAGCCTTACCCCTGTATGCTAATACCTTACCGACCACTAGAAGCTTTGAAGTTTTACGTTTTTTAATGCGCTGAATATATGAACGAACGGTGATGTGCATATAAATCGCAGATGCAAGCGCATATACATAAATTGTATTCTTACGAAATGATCTGGCAGTGTTTTTTACATCATCTTAACCCTGAGACAGCTATGTACACCCTGGGCTATGTACATTAGCTCTAGTACTAGGTTAATGGCTTTATTTAATTATTGAGTTGGCTATATTTGCATATTACTCGGCAGTATTTGTACATCACCTTATTGGCTGTATTTGTATATGGAGTTGGCTATATATGCATATGACTTGGTAGTATATTTATATTTAGTTGTCTGTATATGTATATGAATTGGCGGTATATGCCTATTCTTGGCAGTATATGTATAGCACGTTATCAACCCTATCGATAGAATCTTGGCTGAATTTGGAATCATAAAAAAGATTTTCTTTATTAAAGGTTTAACTTCACTGTAATAACAAGTAGCTGATTAGTCCTACTAGTTAAAATATTGTAAATAAAAAGAGGGTAGTATGTTTTACTGTAATTTACTCACTTTAATTTTAAGTAATCCTCACATCCTTTGAGAAACTTTTCTGCACACTCAAATGAATGTTTAAGTCTGACAGCTTCCGCTCGCTCTACGCAGGACGTTCCATATAAATTCTCCCAGGAACCATCCATTAAACATTTGCGTTCTAACGCTTCTTTCTCAAGTTTAGCTAAGTAGATAAATTGTTTGTAAATAGATATGCAAAGAAAACGGCAACCGATCATTAATTACTAGCAATTAGTTAGGTCTGTCCGCATAGGATTTTGAATTACCGTCTGACACCAGAATGTTTGGTAATTTACGTACTTTCAAAACATCAAAAGAAAACATTACCGATGCAAGGTAAATTAAAATTTTTACATCCATTTGCGTGTCCTCGGTGAAATTTGCAAGTACAATTATTTTGCATTCACCCTACACAGTTGCTTAGTGTGGAAGTATACTAACCCACAATATTTTTTGGGGAAGACCGCTTTTTTCGCTTTAACGTCTTAGCTTCACAATGATTCGTGAAATCATCTTTAGCAGAGTATGGCCCTCCGACTACTTGTAGACCCGCTTCCTGTAAAAATGCAAAAGTGTAATGTCGTAGCATATGAAGTTTAGAATCTAGGGTTAAGGAATGTTTTGGTATGGATATTGATTTATATTGTAACTAATAAATTCATCGATTCCAACCTCAAAAACATGTTGTGCATTTTTCCCGCCCTCTCGAACACATCCTTCGTCGTACAGATTCAATGCTTCAAAGACAGAACTTCGAGTCAATCTTCCTTTATCGTAAAGAAAATAGGCGGCTCTGTCGACTGCAGACATCCCCAGAATAGCGTTTGGACTACCTGCATGTAAAAATTAGAAACAATGTTTAAAGTTCTGTACTTGCCGATGTAAAATATGTTTGAAAGTTTTTTGTAATGAACGAAATAATATTAGGAAGTTCCATACTATAACACATACCTAAGATTGATTTTAACAACGATGAAGACGTTAATTACCGTATTCCTAACAATGTAAAATTTCCTAGTATAGATTTATTGGTTCTGGCGTTGGAACCGAAATTAAAAAATATAAATCATCCAAACAAACAGCAGAAAATGGAACTTTTTGGAAAATACATAACGAAATTAAACCTCTAGTAAATGGTAAACAAAGAATTTACCAATATATTCGACATTAAAAACTTGTGATGGTGATACTTGAGCAGGCACTTTTACTTGAAGTTCCTAAAACAAAAAATTTTTCGACAAAATTGCATCGATGTTACGAATTTCAATTGATGAGATACCTAACCAGAAAGTCTGAGTGATATATACGGACGAGAACATCTTGAATTTTCAACAAGAACCACAGTTCAAAATACAGTCAATTACATCTTTCAAATTAAGCTGTACGTTTTATTTGTATATTGTTTTGATTGGAACAGTTTTGTTCCGACCAATTTGTCGTGTGCTAGTGGCCTAGGCCCTAGTGATTAGAGCGTTGGACCTCATTATGTAGGCATGGTAAGTTAAGGATTCAGAATTCTATCCCGCTGCCGGTACTCCCGTAGTATGTGTACCAGGTTAGGGTCAGGCCCTAATTTTATTGCGATTCTTCCTATTTTACTTTTATTACGAGTTCGGTATTGTCTGTGTTAGCCAAGTGAATATAGATAGCCACTATCCATACATTTCAGTCTCTTTACACAACTTGATGTGAAGTAAGCAAACAAATTTAGTTACCTCCATATTAGTACACACACTTCTGGAGCGTTCCTCTGTCTGCCACATTATCGAGACTGAAATGAATTGGCTGGACAAAGATATATTTCTAGTAAAACTAAATAAAACGTGTTTACAGCGCCATCTAAGCAATGTCGTCACTACCTGTTTGCATGCGTCTTTAACATCAATCCATAAAGAATTGGATAATAATTCCTTCCCGCTGAAGAAGTAAACGAAAAAACGAAATGACGGAACCATTTCGCCTTTAACTTCGATCTTGATATTTGTGTTTACACTTCCTTTTTTTGGTATGTGAACTCCGGTTGATATTATTGCGCCTCTAGCCATGATCTACAAAAATAGAATAATTTTTGTTTCACAGGCATGTCATCCAAACGAATATTTGAGGCATTGGAATAATATCTAATCTTTTTCTGCTCAAACGTGTAGTCATAATAGCCGATTATTAATCAAAATGTGATAAATTATAGTATACTCTGAATTAAAATATATATCAATTAGAGATGAACTAGAAAGTTGTATTTTCTCACCACATAACTAATCCTTGAAGGTGCACTTTTGTACCAGACATCGATTCCAAAATTTTTATCTCCAACTTCAGCGATTTTTTCAACGGCCGATAACTATTATTGAGGTTGAATTAGGGTTACTGGTTTAGTAGATATATTAAAGGAAAACATTAATTGATTTTCTTACTCCAGGTATATTGATATATATTCGTTACGTCATACTCAAGATCTACAATGAAAATGGCAATGTCGGTTTTAGCAATTTGTTACATGTTTTAGTTCTAGGTCTAGGACATCGGAATCTGTTTTGACGTGATTACATATTTTTACCTGCAAATAACTTCCTGATGATGAGATGTATGGATGAAGAGTGAAATCAAGCTTTGCCAAGTTTTCTCTAGGTATTCCAAGCTTTCTTGTTTGTATCTGTACCCCAAAACAATAGAAAAGTAAGTAAACATAAAACAATACATATCGTCAAATACCGGAGGAGTAATTTTTAATCATGGTCGGTTTCAACATGAAAATGATGTACTTACTGTATACGTTCTTTTTACTGGATCTTTGTCCATGCCGATTTTGAAATTGACCTGACCATTTTCATCTGATTCTTCTACGATTGCTGGATAAAATATAATCGTATTTAAGGCACAACTACACTGCAGTACGCTTCCGGGATAACCAGGTTTGCAGGTCAATACCAAAACGGCCAAATACCACAAATTAATCGGCCGTACGATAGTTATTATGTTTAAAATGCATATCACAGGTCAGATAGCAGTTCAACATAAAGTATTTTTTATACTCGCACATACTTTTATAGCACGTTATCAGATTTGTCATAATTACAGCTTGATATAATAATTTTATATAATGTAAACGGAAGTCGATCGGCCAATGATCGCGATAGCCTTGCGTGGGTTTCCTAAGTTATCCCTACACCAGTCACCACCCTACCAAGTGTAATAAATTGAGTAGGACTGAATGACGAACCATATTCATCTTTTTTCTTTATTGAATATTGATGTCTTGTTATTAGTTACTACCTATCTATGATCTTGTAATCTTGATGAAAGTAAACTAACCAGAAATATATTTTCTAAAGAGTTCTAAAAGTTTTTTTTTTATTAGGTTGATGCTATTTCTTTACATGAAATACGTACGTTCGCACTCTCCACACTTTCCATTGCTACAACATTTGTCATTTCCACAATCCAAGGTTCCACAAATCTTTGGGCCTGTTAAGCGTTTGTTGTAATCACAAGATAGTTTGTCCATATATATCAATACAAAAATTAGGACCTGCTTAGTGTTATCTGTGTTCTTTGCATGAGTTTACAGATTGAACAAAGTTTGCGTTTGATATGACATGAAAACACTAAATCAGAAATAGAAGAATTGTGTAATTACACATTGTCAAAAATTAGGATAACTTATCAAAGTATGTAGATTATATTGACTTATTGGCAATTTATTATTTATTGTTGTATCCAATTCCAGATTGTTAGATCCAGCATGATATTATAGTTTACCTGCAAGAATCAATTCAACTTTTTTGACAGGACTGTTCGTCACAGAATCCAAAACATCAATCTGGCAATTAAAACGTTAGAAATGTAGTTATCAGAAAATAATATTCTCACGTATTTCAAGATTAATTTCAACAACGCTTCAGATAGGAATATTTTTTCGTTTATTGCAAAAAGAATTACACTCATCAAATTTTATTCCCAACGAATTAATTCGAGTGCAGTTGATGTTAATTTTGTCAGAACTTATTCTATCACCACATCTTCTAGCTATACCAGCAAGTCTCTGCAGTGATTTCAAATTTAAAATAAAATTTATTCGGGAACCCAGAATTCTCTTCACCTTTATTTCAAAGGAAGTTCTAGGTGTATAATATTTTGACATTCTTGATATATCAAGCTGATATGGAGATCGAACAAACATTATTGGTCTTGATCTGTCCGATTCAACCACTCCTTCCGCTTCTCCTAAAACCGAAATCCGCAATTTTGTGTATATAATTCATAATGGAGATAAATGGAAGTCTACAAGGTATCATTGTTTTACATACCAGTTACAGCAACGTCTATTTCAATTGTTGCACCTTCCTTTTCAAGATCATCAAATGTATCATCACCAATCACCGTCAAAACTTCTGTTGCTTTAATTTCAAATCTTTGTTTCCCGCCCCTAAGTTTTGCCTGCATATGTTGAAACAATGTAAATTATCATTGAACTTATCTAACAAGAAGTCTTAATCGTAAACCACTGAGTAAATTAAATAATGAATCTGTTTTTGGTTAGATAAGATTTAATATTTGCAATATGATCTAGTTAGAATTATTTGGTGATGTTGTTTAGAGTAGGTCAGAGGACTTCAACTTTTGTTTCAATTTTCAATTACGTTGGTATCATACGTTTGGGATCTCGGGTTCAAATCTAGTGAAATGTAATAAAGCACGTATGCCAAACCGCAAAAGAAAAAAACATTACAACTCACTATGATAGTCTAACTAGAACCTTATTATGGATCCTGTTAGAAGTCAAACACCCAATAAAAATAGAAAAATTACCATTCTCCGTAATTCAGGCATTTGGTAAAACAAGAATTTTGATTTAATATCCGGTCTATTCAACTTCGCGGCGAGAAAATACGGCCCAGAAACTTTTCGTCCGTAACTATATTCTGCAGTGATTGTTCCTCTGATATATTCATTCGACATATCGGTTTTCACCAAAACATAAGGATCATCCAAAAGTACTCGAACATTGAATGTAGGGAGCACTGTATGAAACAATAAATTAGTTATCCAACTATTTACTGATTTTGTAAAATTATTTTTATTGTAAACCAATATATAACCAGCTAATACTAGAGTCTAGACAACAGGGATTTATGTGATCAGAGTTCCACCCTACCATCACAAATTTCCCTAGATTTGACTGCATTATTCATTGTACATTGGTAACGAAAAACATACCACAAAATAACATTGAGTCATGCGCATACTCAACACATTTATCTATCAGAAATAACATTTGATGTTTTTGCTTGATGGTTTCATCAGCCATCAGATAACAGTGCAGATTACGATTACATTTCCTATTTTTTTACGCGTGGCATTTCCCTAATCACATAATACAGATGGATGGATGATTTTTGATTTTACGGTTTATATGGGTTGTTAATATTGTAGTTAAAACTCAGCTATGTTAACCGAAAGTGACTTTAAATGAAGCAACTTACCGTAAGGTCTGACGTCAAACGTAGTCGTAGACCATCTTACCACTTTCTGAAGTTAAATAAATAATAACTTATAGAAACCGTAAGTATTGGGATTTTGAATAGGAATAGGAGGGAATTTAGGTGGGAATTTGAATTATGTTTTTACCATTCTTCAACTTTAAATCAGTGGACATATACAACATATACTGAGTTTTGGGCTTTTTAATTCTAATAAGCTTACTTCATCCGTGTAACGTGCTTGTATGGACCATATTCCATACACCGGATATTCGGGGAGTTCAAATGATGTATCGATAAATTTTGCTTTGGGCATACGGAGTAGTTTCTTTTCCACTCCAACATTGTCCAGAGGTATCTGAATAGATATATCAACTTTAGATGAAATTCTCATAATTAGACGAGAAATTTCCAATTGAATGGAACTATATGAACTACTTTGTTATTTCCGGAAAGATGCTGAAATCAATATACATGTTTAATTCAAAAAAAGCTAAAATTACTATATATCAGAATTCATAGATTGATCAGAATTCCTGATTTCTAAATTGCATTGCTTCTTTTAGGGGAAAAATAGGACTGCAGAGTTTACATTGTTGAGTGGAGTAACTGATTTATAACGGGCATAAATTTAGCTTGGGCGGTTATTGCTGTATTGCCAATAATCGTTGGCATGGCGTTCTGAACATAGTGTGGTTGTATTGTTCTGAGTGAAAATATGTCTACATAACTTAACCTGATGAATAAAACTGGGTTTGATGAACACACGTCTGTATAAAGTTACGAAATACTGCTATTCTTACCCTGATAACGATTTCGACTTCACGGTGTACTTCAGGACTTTGTGTTTGGGTCAGAGCAATAACTCGAACGTTGACTCGCTCTTCTGGCCTGCAAAATACGCAAAAGCTAAAGTTGCAATTGTATAAATGCACGGGAAGTAAACTTTTTGATACCTATTTATTCTAGTTTGACAAATTACAAGCAATTTACACATATATGAGCTGAAGAGTGAGCGAATTAAATTTTCTGAAGCCAACTGGTGAAGTGCGCTATTCAACTATGTATGCTAGATTAAATATAAGTTTTGTTCATCGCTTTTAAGAAGTGACACCGAAACAAAATATGTTCATGTCGAAATACCAGAGATATATTTTATGTTCACAACCTTTTTCCATGATTGGTATTCTTATTACAGTCTGCAAAATTGGTTGTGATTGTTATATAGGGACTTGTCTAAAATACTTTGTATTTATAACGATAATATTTTGAATTTGGCCAATCATGTACAAAATACGTACCTATATATTGGCCTGTCGGTTTGGATATGAATGTATCCACTCGATTCAATGAGTCTCATCCGCAATTGTCCACTGTAAACTTTTTTATTTCCTTGTTTTGCAGAAACTAGAAGCTCTACGTATTGACGTCTTTTACTCGGCAAGACACCGGGTGGTTTGTCGTACTAGGTAAATGAATAAACAAAAAAAAATTGCATTGGCGGCGCATTTTGTAGTTGACTGAAAAAAATAACATCTAGAAAGAAAATCGGTAATATCTAATATATCACGGCATACAGTCTTATTTCAATTCAAAAGAGAATATCACAGATGTTTCAGCAATAAATTATTTAAAGCTGTGTTCTTATATCCACTCACTTTTATTTTCATGATGATAGGTTTTGTAGCATCCTCGTTCTTGATTTCAAAATTTGTTACACCTTCGAGCTGAAATCATAGAAAAGTGTTTTGTAAATCAGTGTTTCCGAGCTTCACTTATCTGCTGGTTGTCAAGGCCAGACAATGCATATTCAAATTTGTAGCCATGCACGAACACCAGGGATAAAGATTAGTAATATGGCACCGAAAACGCAGCACACTTTCTGTAATATGTGCGCTGTCAAATTGGATGACAGAATAAAATCTATTATCGACTGTATCAAAATGAATTTTTTATTTGAAATTATGAAATTATTTGATAAGTCCCGAACATGGTTCTAAGTAGCAAAATGGAGTCTGAAGACCCATTTTTATCGGTGACATACATGTTGGTTAGAAAAACATATAGAAATATTTGACTTGAAAAAAAAAAATCAAAAACCCATTTCAATAACGGAAGAAACAGTATTACTTCAAGACGTAGTATATATTATATTCAATAACAAAAAAAATGCAACAAAACTCACTTTAACTGTTGCTACTACATCAATGCGCCCATCGATATTGTAAAGGTTAAGTACAGCAGTTTCTCGTACTCCTTCGCGAAGAATTTGAGGAGCAATTAGTAGATGGTTTTGTCCGAATGATGTTCTGAAAAGCATGATTGGTGAAGTTCAGTATCCGCGTTTTAATAATAATAATATTATGTTTATCGTAATAAAATATATAGCAATTTGTTAGAATGAATAGTTGAAAGGAATAAAAATTTAAATGATGATTTAGTATTTAAGCAAGTGTAAAATGTACTAAAACAGGCAAACAACCATAGCAGTATGACTCCACCTGGAGTCAGATTATAATGATCTTCTATGCCTAGTTTGTTTTAGAATAACAACTCAATTTATCAAGCTGAGAAGGTATTTCAACAAGAGTCCGTAATGTTTGTATTAAATATTAGAATGCAATCCTACCTGGTGCATAACACGGCTATGAAAAGTTGCATGCATAACTGCAGCAACTTCATATTATCTTGACTACTGATTTTCAATTTCCAAATCAGTGTAGCACGTATATCCCAAACACAGGTGTTATTTATTTTCAAGTACCCGTAAGTACGGTGATGCTCCTCGCTTGCTTCTTAAATGAGCAGGTGCTGAGATTCCCGGTGGATTTAAGCAATAGTTGGCAGAAATGTATACACAAAAAAATGAAGAAAGAAATCTAGAGAATTCAGTTTTAGTACAAATTTCAAATATACTTCAGTCTGCCCCGGAGCAAAATAAAAGATCACAATAAATAAATGAAACTTGTTGAGACGAGATTTATGTGGTTGCTCAACTCACGCTTGAACCAATAATACTATCTTCTAAGGTTATCAAAATTAATTCAGTCATGGAGTAAAATAACAGTAGCTTTTCCCGTTCCTATGGTCATGTCAAAAACGACGTTGATTATGACGTATGGATCATTTTTAGTAGAATAAGTCGGTTGAATTCTCAATAATATTAATGTATTATAACAATATTCTGACATGAGGTTTTTGATGAATCTCGTTTGTTGACGGCAATTTTAAGAAACGATTCTCGCTTGCTGATACAAAATAAATAACGGTTCCAAATTTGTTACAATATCATGAAATGTGAATGCTTTTTAATTTTGATACCTCGGCTAGAAAAGATATATATAGATATATAACCTACATTGAAATATAGATATCGACCAAAACCCATACGAAACTGAAAATAGAACTCTTGATCCAACTTATATCGTCTTAGATGCCATAAAGATTATGAAACGAAACTTCCGTGCGTGAACGTCAAAAAAAACGATTTGAATGCATTATTTTTGGTTACAAAAAATTACCTTACTTAATAACAAGTTTCGCCTCGGGATAAAGATTCCCAGCCACAATCAGTATTGGTAATACCGTACTTTCCACTAATCGATGACGATGAAAAACGACGTTCGCAGGTTTTCAATATAGAGCAACGGTGGGCAAACCGCCGGAGTTTTTATGCGGCTCTTCTCGCTGGCAATAATTATATATTATCCAAGTTTACCTAAGAGAAACTGTAGCATAACATTTTTTTTTTCAATTTATTAGGTGGTTGAAGAATATATACTTTGCAATATTGTTATTATACGTTTGTGTAAAGTTCTTTTCAGTTCACGGTAATTTAATATTGTTAATTCAAAAAATAATGCGGCTCTCACATATTTCTGACTTGCTGCATGCGACTCTTATGCTAAAAAAGTTTGCCCTGTCATATCAAGTACTGTCGTATCAATGCTTTGTGATTTTTTAACACCAATAATATCGGAGGCCAAATGTTTTTTAGATCTTTTTTTAAAAACTCAAAACTCTGCTTTTAGATTCTTTTCTAATTTTACGGTGTAATTATCTAGTTAGGTTTTGAGTTAGAGTTAGTAATGCAAATTGCGCTGGAAATTCAAATGTTTAATTCATTCTTAGCCCCAACTAGATAATTCCTAATTTGTTATTTTAAACGTGGCGGGGTGTTTTTCTCAAATTTCTAATTTTTGCATTAGTGACGAGACTTTGTACCAAAGATCTCTAATTTACACCCGTGAAAAGTGATAATGACGAAAACTAGACAGAGATCGGAGACTTATCGATCTTTCGAAACTCCGGTTTCGATTCCTTCACTGTGACTCAATAGCGACACCGCGTGTTCCATCACTAATTAATTAATACCTCGCTAATTATATGACATAATAATTCATCGGAAATCAATACGCTCCTGGTCCGAGATATGATGGATGCAAAATTTGGAGCAGATTCAACCTCGCTTTCGTGAGATATTGCGTAACATACGAAAGTGTCTAACAGACAAACAAACAAACAGACAAATACCTATCAACATACTTACCGATCGAGATCGATAAGTAAAATCTCTTCGAGCACACTTTCATATTTGAGGATATTTATTAATTTTTTGTTTGCATTTAGAACATAACTAAGTACTTTACGTTCTCATTTTCAATAATCTTCAGTATTCCCTACTAAAACAACAATGAACAATCAATTCATTTTCTTTCACTGTCGCATCCGAGCGTGAGAAGTTTTCTGAGCAATCTCAAGTTGGTACATGACTGATGAATAGCAATATGTTTTAGACATTCTTCTCTCGTACTTTTTGGAGTTTTCTTTTTGAGTTTTCTACATTTCTTTTCTTCAGCTTTTTTCTTTGACTTCTTGCATTTCGTCGTCGGATATATACGCTCTACAAACATCCCTGCACCCAGCCGATAGTGGGGACTGAAAGAAATAAAAAGCGAATATTAATTTTTTTCGCTTTTGACAGCATGCAGCGTTTTAATCGTACTCTAGTTTCCTAATACAAAATTCCAAAATTAATGTATTGGTGACGCACTATACTGGAGCATGGAACTGTCCCATAGAAATTAGGGAGATGCGAAATAAATGGCTCTCTCCTGCTATATCACGGAAATTTTTACATTGATTATTCAATTTTTATTATTGGCATTTTCTTTCAGCTAATCTTATTAACTCGGCGGTGTGGCGCATCGTGCTATGCGTTAGGAATACGCTTCGTGGGTTTGAATCCCATGCGGGGATGATCATGTGCGAGAGAATTGCTGGACTCCTCGCCGCCGTAGGGTGGTTCACGTAACCGCTGGTCGGTTACGGCTTTCTCCACCATCAAGTCCATGCTTCCGAAAACAAATAACTGACTAACTAATCCCATATCCGACCTGGACTGGTAACCGGACGAGAGGCCGTGGTTCGCCATATGATTAAGCCGTCTTATCGGCTTTCCTCTCCCCCTGAATAAATATGTAAATCCTATTCTATCCTAACTCACCTTGGCAGTTCACCGCCTTTGAGAATATTATCATCATCTTCGTAATTCATTTCCACACTATTTCCAATCAAGAGAAGCGTTCTGTCCTTCTTAAGAAACGGTTCCTTGAAACAAACAAATGTGTAAACTTTATTGGAGAAGGTAAACCGTAACCAGTGGTGGGATTCAAATTTTTTGTCAGCCGGTTCCATCACAAAAGTCATATTTTTCGGCCGGTTCTGTTACATGTTTTTTTAGTAATACTAACCGGTTCGCTGATCTCATAAAATTCCGTGAGAGGGTTCTATAGAACCGGGGCGAACCGGCTGAATCCCACCACTGACTGTAACCATGGTCGAAAGAAAAAAATTGAAAAGTGATTTAAAATTTTTTTTTGAGTAATTATACATATGGGGTGTTAAATACCAATTTGTGGCATTTTTCTACTTGTCTAAGAAAGTTTATTTGAACATGGTTCAACTGTCGCAAAATAGCGAGTTCACAGAAATTATTAAATTTTATAAACAACCCAAAAATGGTTATGATAACTGGGGCCTACCTTTTTACCGTCTTTATCAACCAACACTTCATCATCTCTACACGATTCAAAACAATCTCTTCTTATACTAAAATTTCTGTTTTGATTTCTATCCACATCCCGATCACCACCTGAGCAGAAGAATGAAGAAATTTTGGGTTTTTACTACATCCACGATCAAGGTTTGCTGTGGTAATATCTTTGCAATAATATATGCCAATCCCAAATGCACACACTTTATTCTAGACTACGCACTGCTTTTTCATCATAGTGTGTGAGCAATAAAAACGAACTTTAGAGAAATCTTTACAGAGCTAGATGATTTCTACTCATATTTGTCACTCTTTAGCACTTTCTGGAATTTCAGTGCTTTCTTGAATTCTGGAATTGAGTGTTCAAGCGTATGTGTTGACAAAAAATAAATATACATAGGGCAAATAAAAACAGATTGGAGGCGTTGAGAGGAGTCAGGTGGAGTTTAAGACAAGGTGGAGCACAAACGTTGTTGATGAGTAGAAGTTCTGATTGGGATAAATGCAAATCTCACGATTAGGCTGGCAGCTGGATGTGAGGTAATTTTATATGTTAACAACAAACCATGTTCTGTATTTAACTATTTATACAAAGAAATTTACATCAACGAATGTGCGAAATTGATTGTAAACAATATAGCTTACAATAGGGGTGGGCAAGAAAATAATTGAGATAAAAGAATATTTCAAACTACTTCACGCATCGCTCAAATTATTCACACATCGGTGGCGGTGATGGTGTGATTCATGACGTCATTTTATAACGAATGTTTTACCACAACACATGTTTATTTTGCAAGTTTACAAGTCGAAACTGTAAAGTTATGTTTATTTTCAGCTATCGTGGATATCTTTGTCTCACCTGCTTTATAAACCTCAGCTATTTGGATAGCAAAATCCATAAATACTCCACTGGGATCTTCGACTCCATCCGAAGTCACTTTAACTTCATACACATAATCACTGAATTAATATATCACAAGTTAGTGAGGTTTTCAGCAATCCGTAACTCAATACATATACGCAATTTTATGAACACTCATCTTTAGGCTTTATTTAAAGATAAACGTGTCGTGTCCTATGTTAACGTTCCAATAGGAGGAAAGGGTCACATATACACTGTGGGCGCAGCAAAGATGTTGACAACTTTCAATGGTACACAAGATTGAGTTGTATTGAAAATAAAGTATATATCTATTATTTGTCTTCGCAATTTGTATATATATGTAGTTTCAAGTTTACCTTTTGCAGGCTATATCTGCTAAATCGAAGCAGTTGTCAGGATCGTTACAAATCGTGCATTCTCCATCCGTGCCTTCCAAACATCCTGTATGTTGAAGTTGTTGTTTTCTCGTCCTAATTTTGTAAAAATATTAATGTTACTAAGAGTAGATCAAATATAATATTAAAAGTATGCCTGATATGATTGAATTTAGGCACACTGAGATTTAGAGTATAATATTTGTCCATCGTCAAGTCTTGGATTCTCAGACTTTTGGCATAACAAAAACTGACATAAAACATTTTGGATTATCGAAATGATAGATTTAATAATAAACAAAACACGAGGAATACAATAAACGAGAATATCGGTCAGAGACCGAAGACTTATCGATCGAAAGTTAGGAGATCCCTCAAAATAGCGCTCTTACTTCATAGTGACACCTTGTGTCCCATCACTAATTAATCAATAACTCGCTAATTATACGACATAATTCATCCAAAATCAATAGGCTTCTGGTACGACATATTATGAATGCACATGCAAAATCTAGAGCAGATACAATCTCGCTTTCGTGAGATATCGCGTGCATCTAACAGATAAACAGACAAACAAACAGACAGACAAATACCTATCAACATACTTACATGTTTAAAATCGATAAGTAATAAACATGAAGAGAAAATATTGGTTATGAATGTAGATAACAAAATTTTTGACAGTTTTAAATAATTTGCAAGAACCTGCACGTTAGGCATCCTCCTTCGGCGCATTTACAAATG